TTCAAATTATATGTCGTAAATTCTAAACGTGATATAATAGTTTTTTCCATAGTAAATTTTTCAAATTATATGTCGCAAATTCTAAACGTGATATAATAGTTTTTTCTATAGTAAATTTTTCAAATTATATGTCGTAAATTCTAAACGTGATATAATAGTTTTTCTATAGTAAATTTTTCAAATTATATGTCGTAAATTCTAAACGTGATATAATAGTTTTTTCTATAGTAAATTTTTCAAATTATGCATCGCAAATTCTAAACGTGATATAATAGTTTTTTCTTGATGAAAATAAATTAAAAAAGCTAATTTATTTAAAGCAAAGTTATCAAAGCGCGAAGTTATTACAACAACTGCTTCCAAATATATAATTTGCTACTGGAACTGCATCTGCTTTAAGACCGATAAAAGAAACACCTTTCTGTTTGCCTATGTCGAATAGACTGACTTTATTCATATATTTCATCTCTATTTATACTAAAATAATTCTATGGTTATACACATAAATTATATTTGTGTTTATTAAAAGTAGGTCAAATAATGTATTTCATAATGGTCACTTTGCTAATACTCAAATTCGATTCGTTGATTTGCAATGCTTATTATTTTCACTTTCGTTACACAATAATAATGTCCAATGAATAATAATGAGCAATAACTTCTTATCGACCAAAGCGTTCTCTTATTGCACTGTCGATTCATAACAAATCATTATATTCTTAACATTTCTATAGTAAATTTTTCAAATTATATATCGCAAATTCTAAACGTGATATAATAGTTTTTTCTATAGTAAATTTTTCAAATTATACATCGCAAATTCTAAACGTGATATAATAGTTTTTTCTATAGTAAATTTTTCAAATTATACATCGCAAATTCTAAACGTGATATAATAGTTTTTTCTATAGTAAATAAAACAAACGAGTTTGAAAAAATCCATCCATTTTCATGTGGATTTGCATTCATTTACAATCAGTTTTACGTGTTTCTTCAATTTTTTTATACACATTTTGTAGTTTATGGTTAACTTTCAAAGTGCACTATTTGTTCATCCATCCATTCCAAAAAATCCATTCAATTTAGAGTTAACAAAATACAATAAATGTATGGATGGATGAATGGATGGCCAAACATGTCCATCTATCCATAAATTTATTGTATTTTGTTAACTCTTAATTGAATGGTTTTTTTCTATAGAGCTCTAGATGGATGGATGGATGGATGGACAAATAGTGTACTTTGAAAGTTAACCATAAACTACAAAATGTGTATAAAAAAATTACAGAAACACATAAAACTGATTGTAAATGAATGCATATCCACATGAAAATGGATGGATTTTTTCAAACTCGTTTGCCTATGCATTCATCCATCCATTCATCCATCTAGAGCTCTATAGAAAAAATCAAATCAATTTAGAGTTAACAAATAGAATAAATGTATGTATGGATGAATAGATGCACATGTTTGACCATCCATTCATCCATCCATACATTTATTGCATTTTGTGAACTCTAAATTGATTGGATTTTTTCTATAGAGCTCTAGATGGATGGATGACAAACGAGTTCAACTATTATTCACTGCTTTCGATTGGAACGGTTAAATTCTTGGAATAAACAATTTTTTTTTGATTATTTTGATCGCCTTTATGTTGATTGCCGTATCAAGTATAATAATAGTTCACCAATGTTTTGGTCATTTAGTTTTGGTCCGTGGTTCTTGTTTTAAATAAAACACATAAAGAAAAAAAGTTCAGTTTTCGAGTCGAAGCGAGTCTTATTTTAAAATCCGAACTGAAAATCTTTTATCTGAAGCAAAATTCTTTTTTTATGAAATGAATTTCGGTTTTAGACAACGTTAATGGGAAAAGTACAAAAATTTCAATGCAATCTACTAAGATAAAAAATCAAATAATGCAAAAGTAATGCCATATAATGTCAAAATAATTCTTCATAATGTTAAATATATAAAATCATTCATCATCCAACAATCATCCAACTATCATCCATTCATCCATGGATATGGATGGATGGATGGATGGATTTGGGGACTAATGACCGTTAGCCATTTTGAATACCCTATAGTACGCTTTGGGTATGTAATTATTTTTAACACAAAAAGACCAAGAGAAATGAATTTTACAAAAAAATTGCGGCAAATTGAAGATGTCGATATTTTCGATTCCGGACATTGTCCAAACTATGTGGTACACTTTCGAATGGTTTTCGGTACAGTAAAGTACACCTTTGGTACAGTAAATATACAAATTCAAGTTTCATCAAGTACCCGTGTTCTCTCGTTGTGCCTTTCAAATGGCACAATCGCAGTAGTCTGCACCTTTGCGTATTCAATGATGATACTATTCACTTGTATTCAGACGTACAACTAATGTCGCACACATACACATACATAGCTACACTCTCACATCTCTTTCATTCTTTATACATATACGCAAAGGTGCAGACTTCTGCGTCCGTGCCATTTCAAAGGCACATAGAGAAAACACGGGTAGTCATCCATATCGAAAAAAACCGGCTAATTCGTGTTCTCTGGCCCTGAAAACATCCAGAAAACATATTTTTGAAAAGTCTTAGTTTTTTACCGATTCCAATACTATACCTTACACTCGATGTGTGCGGAAAAGTAAAATGTGATATGTTTTATTTTAAAAAGTAATTTCGTGTTTATTTTTCGTATTTCAATTATAAAACTTTACCCATTCATATTCAATTAACAGTTTTTTTTGTATTCAGAATGTATTTTCCTGTGAAAAAAAAGTCTAATTCGTTATTTACATTAAATGAAATTATCGAATGCAACAAATATTTGTTTTAACCAATTGAACAATGAACTTATTGCCATTATTTTCTTTTTTTTTTAATTGCCATTATATGTTTAACTTATTGTCCATTTGAGTCTCCTCAATTAATAATTGAAAATTCAACTCTTTTTTCTGCTGTTCAAATCAAAAGTGTTTCTTTCGAAAATGAAATTTATTTCGTAAGTTTAAATTTCGGAAAACTTAGAAGTAGCTTAAGCATAGTACGATGGTGGAATAGTTAAATCGCTTAATACAGCCAATTGATCCTCGGTAAATTTGAGCTGATGTGTTGACCAATTATCATGATGTGTGCGCTTGAAATCACCGACAGTTTTTCGAATGGTTGACTGAAAAGAGCAAAGAATGAAAACCATTTAAGAAGTCTATTGATTAAAATCGGTATCATTAAAAGAAAACAACATACTGGAATAGGTTGGGGATCATTCAAATGTGCGCCAAGATGTTCAAATACGTCTGGAACAAAGTCAGGTATTTCGTAGGGATAGGCTGATATGAATGCGCATAAGCCGAGTACACCCATGTGCCGTGTTCGAACGGATTCGGCTTCTTGTGTTTCGCCATTATTCGACAAATTGGATGTGGACGCAGTTGCTGCGATCGCTTCGCTACCGCAATTGAGACGGCGAGTTGAATTCTTCACTACTTTGGTGCGACACTTTTGTTTGAATAATTCCAAAAGAAGATCAGTCGATGGCAAGAATGAGCAATGTAGTAGGCCGCCCAACACTTGAGCTGCTTTCACACGAACTTCAAGAACGGAATCCTCAAGTAAGCGCAAAACAATTATTTGAACTTGTTGCACCCATTTTTCGCAGCTCAGCACAATTGGCATATTATTGAAAACAAGAACCTGCAACACATCGATAACAGCCAAACGTGATGACCATGAGCTTGACAATGACACTTCTTCAATCTTTTGCAATGCCGAGCCCATACAATCTTGTAGGGTCAAACCTTGCGACAACATTGCCAACAAAGAGGTACATGTTTCAGCCAATTCCAAATCGTGTTCATATCGTTCGAGTCGGCAAGCAAACGGCAGCAAATCAAAGTACTCAATTATATTTCCATTCGTGTTTCGATTCAATACACCGACAATCCATTGACATACTAAAATTCAATGCAGAATTGATTAGCTTAAAATTGATTCAATTAATTAAATTACGTATAAAGTATTACTTGTTTTGAATAGTCGAACGGCCTGATCGTATTCTAATTTTTTAGTGTCATTTGGCAACTCATTGTCAGTATCTGAAAAATATGCATATCAAATAATATTTGACATTGAATTTTAAAAAAATGACAAATTGCGTATCATTATTCATACCTTTTGGATCGTCTAGCTGCAGAATTTGAATTTTTTGCACAACTTCGCCGATGATATCTTTGATACGTGGACACTCTGGTTCGGGTGCGTCAACGAATTTCAAGTCAGCTTCAAAAATATTTATTAAAATGCTGCCCAAACGTTCTCTTACATTTTGGAAACTGTGATTCAAATATGGTCTTAGATATTCTGTGGGAAAAAAATTGATTTTCAATTCAATTGCCACTCTTTGAATCGACCAAAATATTGATGAATATATAAATGATTTTTACCCAACAAACGGTGACACACGCTATTCATTCTCCAAACATGTTGATTAAATGGACCCTGAAGACAATAAATGCGGCTACAGTCAATGAAGCTTGTAGATTCCCGTAATGGATTTTCCATTAACACTTCGTGCAACCAGTACTGACGTCGTGGATCGAAGTTTTCGGCTGCAGTTGCAAAGCATGTACCCCAAAATATGTCTGTTTCCACCGTGATATTGTCGAGTGCCAAGCGAATCAATGGCTTTAGTTTTTCGTATAGGTTCACAGTCATTTCGAATGTCCAGTGCTTCATTCCTCTCATAATACCGGCCTAAAATATATTAGCAAGATTATTTGTTTGTCATTATTTCTTAATTCTTAGTAAATATACCATTATTTCGGCTGCACAGCGATGGCTTGATTCGGAATTTTTGTCTTCGATCAATCGTTGTAAATGTTCCAAAATGGGATCGAGTAAAACATCTCCAAACATATCGCAAATGCCCTTCAACAAGAACGATCGTGAACGATTAAACTTTTCTTTGCCTTTCTTCTCTTCCAACGACCAGAATTCAATCAATTTATCGACGTTGGATTTTTTGGCAAAGAAATCATAAATAATGCGTTCAGATGAGCTCAGTTCGTCTCTGGTACGATTCAATTTTGGTTGATGTGATGATGGAGCATAGACGGTGAAATTCGGTGACCTTTGCATTTTGGCAAACAAAGGTTTTTTTTAATTAAATTGAACGTTCATTTATCGAATACAACAATTGTTTGAAATATATTTTTAGAAATCCGTACTTACCATCCAAAGAAACCTTCTGTCTTATGCACGTATTTCGGTTCATCCCATTCTTTTTGATTTTTTGGTAATGTTTCCAGATCGTATTGCAGCCATCGATTGTCTGGACGACATCCTGGTTTCAGTTCACGTTGTGATTTCGGTCTTGTCACGCCACCAATCGCAAATGGATCCATCGGGATTTTGACATGTTCACGCTTTCTTTGCTTGAAAATGAATCGCATTGTTTTAACCGCAATCTTTCGCTCTTCAATCGATTCATTTATCAAATTATGTGCCGCATAATTAATAATCTCATCTGGATACTTTACATTGATATGTACCAAATTGTAAATCATACCGGTCGCCATTAAACCATAACGCCAATGCAGTGAGTTATTGTGCGTAATCTCTAAAATTTCATGTAAAATGTTAAAATACAATTTGAGATTGGTGGCATTTTGTTCCTGTTCCTTTGCTAAACCGGCTGCGATTTCTGATTCGGGTATTGCAGGCACAGTTGATGGTAGAATTGCTATCGCCAATTCAACGCATCGATCAGGTATATTCAAGCTAATATTAACCGTTGGAAATTCGTTATGAATAACATCATAAACCATATTCAATAAGCGGACAACAGATGGTTTCTCTGAAAGATTTGTTTTAAGCAAAGCGAGCCATATTTTTTGCACACATATCCAATCATTTTTAACGATCAAACGTGCACGACGCTGTCCACACAAAACAAATAAAATTCCCTTGAATCTCTCATGATTTTCATTCGAGTCCACAGACAAATGATGAACAATATCATCCAGCAGGCATCGGTATGAAAATGGAAAAGTACCAATTAATTTGAAGAGACGAGATTGTGCCATCACTCGAACAGCGCTGTATCGTGATGTTGATAAATCCAATAAATTGTTCATTACGGACAAATGCGATGGCGTAAATTCGGGCAATAATAATTCATCACGGCAATCTTGTTGCATCAGAATTCGTGTGGCCAAAATGGCACGAATATCACGTATTCGCTTGGTCAGTTTATATTCCTGGAACATTTTTGATTGATTATAGCTCTTGAGCTGAGAATCAAACGGTGTCACATATTGTTTACGTATGAATACTCGTTCCAATAGCAAAATGATTGCTTTAAGTGATTTTGTGTCGTCTTCGAATTCGCTTAAGATTTTCTTTTGTAATTTTGATATGCTTCTGATAATGGCCAGTCGGACATTCTCGCCGTTCGGCATATTTATTGCGTATTTCTCAAAACCTAATGTAATATCCAAGGCACGAATTGGACTGGTTGTCTGTAGAATTTCAATCGGCTTTTCGTTGGTCCAATTGGGTAAAAAGTTGGCACATTTCAGTAGCGCCAACACCGTTGATGTATCACGAAGAAGATCGTCTCGTGACAATTCACATTTACCATCCACAAAATCATCAAATTGCTTTAGAATCGGCGGTAAATAGCGATGAATTACCATTTTGCATACTTCGTGTGCCTTCTCCTGCGGCATGTACCTAAGGGGAGAGTCACAAAAGAAAAGAATCGAATTATAATCGAAAAATAATCGAAAAACAATCAATAATAATAATTAATAAGCAATTTTTAAGCGAATTGCCCCTTGCATGTACCACTTGATTGATGTTTCAGCTTTCATTTTTTGGCCCCTATAGCAATAAAAATTCAAATTAGATTGATTGCAATCGGCTGAACGAAAATCAAATAAGATTTTTTCTACTTACCAATGCCGAACCGGTAGGAATTCTTTTAATGGTTTCTCATGACTTTCGGGTGAACTGCGAACATCTAATATTTGAAGTGTGCTAACATTGCTTAAAATCGTGAACAAAATTGCATTCGAATATTTATTGGTGAGTTTACACTTGAACTTTGATATTTGATCGATAATTGGAATTAAATCGTCTACAAAATTGACAACTTCATTGGGTGCACCACGTACGATGGCCATCATAAGTATGATGTAATAAAGCATTTCATCGCTCTGTTTGTCTCGCGTAGCAATATCTTCATGTTCTTCAATATATTGATTGATCGTACTAACCACGAATGGTACGAGAGATTTGCTGATTTCACCGCCAGACACCCGTGCAAATACTCTAACCAAGCTGGCAATTAGATGAGCAGCAACGCGTGGTTCAAATAAATTTGTTTTTATGTATTCGACCAATTTTCGTGTTGCTGATATAATAATTTCGTTGGAACACTGACCCATAATGCCATGCGTACTTGATTGCACCAAACTCTCGACAACTGTTTCCATTTTTGAACGAAGACCATCACTGTCGGTCGGCTGTTCGGACATTCGGGTTGAGCAGCTCGACTCAATGAGGGCGAATATCTTATCCATATATTCTAAAACGAAACCTTCAAATTCGGCCGTTTGGCCGCAAATCAAATTTTCTTCATCGGTCAAATTGTCATAGTAAAGATGAGCTTTGGAACAATCGACGATCGGAACCATTAGAGCAAACGTTGTTAGAAATTGTAAGGTAACCGATGTTTTTTTGAAGTCATTTGGATCAATTCCAGGTAGACAGGCAAATAAAATTGGAATGACGTGTTTTTTCCCTGATGAATAACCATTGTGGCCCGACACAAGGGCACGAGACACACTGACCAGACATTGTAATGCAGCTGTCATCTTATGTGGCTCGGTTACTGAATCGAGCGTTGTATACACTCTTTCAACAACATCGGGAATGATTAATTCTGGTCGTAAATCAGCTAAATGCTTGAATATCTTTCCAGTGTCATTGGCAGGCATTCGTGAGTACATTGCCTGCAGGGCGATCGGCTTATACGATTCCACGAACTGTGTCAAACAGTTTTCGGTTAAACGATGTTCCTCTGAAATGAAATTATTGAAAATGAGATGAATCCAATTGAAAGGGGATTATTATCTTACGAGGAACGGGTTTTTTCCACGGATGCGGCTTATAGCGTTCATACACCAATCGATCGAAAAGATATTTCGGTAGTTGAACGACAATTTCACTAATAACGCCAACCCATTTTCCACTATTTGCTGGATGCAAATATGATTCAACAGCACCTAAAAATTTTGACAGATATTGTTGGGCAGAACTTTTGGGAGAGAGAACAGATGCTATCCAAACTGAAATTTAAAATTAAAAAAGCAATTAATTATACAACCGACATCTCAATAATATGGTATATTTGTACTATACTGACTTGCAACTGAAGATGACCAAAGTGTTTGATTACGGGCACTTTTCATGCTTTTATAACAAACGGGTAGGTCTAGTGATCGCAGTAAACGCGTAAAAATCATTGGAATGTGAGGTTCCCAATCGATCAGTCCAACATTTTGACTTGCCGTGATTGCCAATAGATTCATTATGTCCTGAAATAAAATAAAATTTCAATCCACCGAATGGAATGCGATTTTGTGTGTTTCTTCAAATTAATGTCCCCTTACCACATTCCATGATGCATTATGGTATGTGTTCCAGAGATTGATGAAATCGGTTAACCATAATTCATGTCCTTGCAATGGATTCAAAAAGATTGACAACAAATCAAATGCACCGCATATTTTGCCTGTATCAAGTGGAAATAATTTGGGAAAAATTTCGTCCAAAATGTCTTGCGTGGAATCTTTCGGAAAATATCTGTAATCGCACAATAAAAAATGTAATTTAGAAAATAGCTGAAATGATTTCAAAAAAGAAAGAAAAAATGTCTACGTTTCGGAGTAAAAAAAAACTACTTACGTGGCACATTGCTGAATAATAAATTGCACGTTTGATTCGAGTGACCTATTAGTGGAAGAAATGCAATAAACTTAATATCAATTCTAATCATTCGTTGAATCTAATCATGAGAAAAAGCAGCACAAATTCACGCAAAAATTTGTACGTTATTCAAAATTAGAGTACTGCTTATCTTTGTGATGTTTGATCAGTGCTATCAGTCAGACCACAAGCAAATTAAAATCATCAACAAATCACACGATTATTTCATACTCACGGAAAATATCTGTATATTTCTCCTTTGGTTGAATTTTTATTCAGATAAATGTTGCTTAAACTGTACAATGGACGCCAATCGATTTGCAAGTCATCGGGTGATAGCCATGACGTCTTACTGCAATTAAAAAAATAATGAGAATTGAATATGTTTTTTTTTTGTATTGGTTATGTCAACTCATACCGTAGTAGTTGCGATAGTACAATACAGAATTTATTCAATTTGGCTGGCTCCAAGCCAGGAATTTCGATGAGCGATAGCAAAAGTTTGATGAATTTTACATGATCTTCTTTTGAAAATTTCAGCCCGTATAGTTTGAGATACCTACACACAATCCGATGTATAAAAAAATGAACGAATAAAAAAAATAATTAGCAAATCATCGTAATAACTTTGTGAATTGCGTCACATGTTGTTGAATAAATACGAACACCAATAATCTGGATGTTGCAATGCCAACAGCTGGTGTCATTTCTCTGAGTGCTACTGCTTTTGCAAGGCCTTCCTTTAATTCCGTCAGCATTTTTTGCGATTCATCGTCGAGTTGATCAGCATACGGTAGATATTTATTGCAAAAAATCTCTTTTTGCGGATGAAAACCGAGCTTCTTGTAGCGAGCCTGTTGAAATTCCGAATATTTCTTGGATAGTACTTTTTCTTCTTCGGCCGCAATATCATCGCCAATCGCATCGTCACCACTGGTTGTTCCATAATCTAAATAGTCGTCGATTTCCATTTTTCTCACCGCTTACTTTGTGCCACACTCGCACAAAACACCAATCCAAATATTTTTCGGACCGATTCACTGTTGGTTCTTTTTTTCGTGTCGCTCACTCACTTTTTTTTTGCTACTTGATTTAGTTTATCTACAGAAATGTAATGACATTAAATTTAGATGTTTGATATTCGGCATCTGTACTATAAATGTATACGATTGTTATTTTGTGAGTAACTTATAAACAACAAACGAACTGAACATCAGTTGAATAGGCGCCTTTGTCTTTCTCTTTGTTTTCACCCAAATAAGTTTTACTACAATGTTTGGCCACGAAATCGATCGCAGATTTCCTATGTATCGTTTTTTCTTTTTAATTTTGTTACCACGTCAAACAAAAACAAATGTAAAAAAACGCATTTTGATAGAAAACGATGCAATGAACTGAAATATACACATTGAAATTTTCCACAATGGAACAAAAGAGAAACAAAAATACAATCCACAACTAAATTCCTTATTACTTTCTTCCTGTTTTGATTAAGCACAAATGACAACAACGATTTAAAAACAATTATTTATTAATTTTCACATAAAATTCGTATTAAATTTCAATTAAATTCACTTACAAACTGTTTTTTTTGTATAGCCGTGTTACCGTGTTGGCTTTAAAATAAAAATGAATTTATTTAGTGGTTTGATAAAAGGGAAAAGTCACAAATTTCTAGTGATTTTATAAAAGTCATTGTGTGACTGTGAATAGTGAATACTATGTTCGTCTCCATCACACCAATTCGCCATAAATGGAGGCATGCATATCATTTCCCCATTTTTTTCGTGCTTATTATCACAGATTACTTCATTCAATTTTGACAGTTTGACTGTTCAACAGTTCACTGTTCCGCCACCCATCAAATCTGACGCTGCATTATCGACACATCAGTTTATTTGCGCAATCATTTCAATTCAAATGCAAAAAATAATTTATTATTTATTATTCATTGTTATAAATTACAATTTGGGCACATTTTAAAATACTAATACGATTTCACTTGATGAACATTTGAACATACATAATATGTAATAATTGTGTTAACTATAGTATTTTTGATATAAATTAGTATTTTGATTGTGTTTGTCGTTTCATTTGAACACATGACGAAAATCATTTAACATTTGCTTATAATTATTTTACAATTAAATGGAATCATTGTAGGATAGAAAATTAATACCAGACATCGTACCATCAAGACGAGCCTGTTGTCTCAATAAATTGTTGCATTTGGTCTCAATCAAATCGATGTTGTTGTTTAGTTCATGAACCATGGCTCGCATATTTTTACAGTATTTTAATGTTTTAATGAGATCAATTTCATCCATTTCGAAGTTGTTTTCGCATTGAAGAAGCCTATTTTTGGCATTTTGATCTTTTGCAAAGTACGGCACTGGGCTGTCAATGAATGTTCTCGAAATCATAGACATTGTTCTGCAAATTCCAATTAGAATTAATAAATTTTAAATAAACATATCGAATTGTTTATAACTTACTGCGTTAGTGCAGATACGATTGGAATATTCTCCTTATCATTCGATATGAATTGAATATTTTCAATTTCGTCTGCAATGAATGTGCTCGATGCTTCGGGCATTAGATCATCACAAAACTCCGAGTATTCCCATGTTGAACACGTTGAATTTGTTATGGTCTTTTCGCTATCGGTATATATGGTATCAAACGAGCCCACGGATCCGATGGTATCAAAAGTATTGTCAGTAATGCTACCGAAAAGAGTGCTATAATTGATGGCCAATGTTGGTTCTTCAACATTATTGTTGATATCTTTGGCATCGTCCGCAAACATGTACGATTTTTCGTTGGAATTGTTTACTATTGTGATTTTTTCAACAACAGGAACCAATTGAAATTTGATATTTAACGAAATACTATCATCTTGACTCATTAAATCCTTGAGTTGAGTTTTCATCCCATTTGGACACACAAGAATTTGCTGATTCAATTCATCCCGATGTTGTATCAATTGAATTTTATCACTTGCGTCGCGAATTCCAATCTCTTTGCTCACCCAATTAACCTTATCTGGCAAATTTCGCTCAAGTGCCTGCATAATCATATTCCAAACGTCATATTCCGTCTTCCATTGTGCACCGAAATTCAATTTCGATTTTTTCGCTGTATCATTACGACCAATTGAATGCCGTTTCGGTTTACTTGAATATTTTTGGTACAACTTCGGTTTTGGTGTAGTTTTCAACTTTGAAAATAGTCGACGACTGTACTTTTTGGAGTTGTTTTTATTTTTTTTCACCAATTCTTTGGTGTCATTCAACACAATTTTGGACCAACGGTTGTTCATAATATCAGACATGTTTCTTTTCAGTTATCTAGAAATCAGAATGATATAAATGTGGTTTTTGTATAATTTTGGTTATGACATAACCTAACATTTCATCAACACAAAAGCCGTTTAAATCTTTTGTAAAATTATTGATTGAAAACTCACCTTTGAAAATAAAAAACTAAAAATGTATTCGATTGATTAAATATAAATTCTTATAATAAAAAAATGCAAATCGTACAAGAAAATGTTCTATTGCCAAACCAGTCGACTGTCGATTAACCTGTGTAACGAACGGCGGTTACGTTAGTTGTGGGATGACTTGACTCTTTGAACAAAGTTTTTCTGTTGCAGTCAAATGTCAATCATTGTCGCAAATACCTCCGTCTATTCAAGTATATATAAATTCAAATGTGTTCAATGGCGAAAAATTGACAAAATAAATTGCCTGACGAATTTTTTTTCGTTTCATTTGATAATTTTTGTTTCGAGAATATTTTCATTCCTATTCTATCATAAAAAGATAAAAAAATGTATCCCAAGTATTTTGTTAGTTTATTATCGAATCCAAAATCAAAGTTGTTTCACTTTGGCAATGTAAATTATCAATATGGCCGCAGTATGATAACCCTATATACCAATTGTATGCAGAATTTCCACTTCATATTCTGTCTTTATAACAAACTCACACTCACACACATCGTCTAACTTTTTCATTCGAATTCGCATGTCAAGTGGACAGAGTTTTGGAATTGTGTTTGTGTATCACAGCATCGCCGCACAAGGAGTTTGTCGTTTAATCGCAACCAAACAACATACGTATTAAGAGCGCGTTGATCGCAACAAGCCATGAAAATATTTCTTCATTAAACATAGCAAAAATATCGTTTTAAAATAAACAAGTGCTTTCTGAAACTCAAGAGAACATTATTAGTTGAATAAAATGTTGTGGACAAAAGAATCTCTTCAAGAAGATGCGGCGTATACTAATTTATTGGACTCCCCATTTATGATTGACGGCATTTACAAAAAATACAAAGAAGACGGCACCCTTGTAAAAGCTCTGTTTGCGTCATCATTTAAGAAAAGTTCTGCAAAGGCGACTGAATATCGACAAAAAGGAAATGAATTATTTGCTGAAAAGAAATGGATATACGCTATGGAGTACTACAACAAATCATTGTGTTTTGCAAAAGAAGGTTCCGAATTGATGGGATTGGCGTACGCAAATCGGTCATCGTGTTTTTTCAACATGCAAATGTACAGCAAATGTCTCACCGACATCGAAAACGCCAAACAAAACAATTATCCAGAAGAAAAAATGTCCAAATTGGATGAACGAAAAGCTAAATGCTCGGCTATTCTGACAAAGGAGACGGATCAAAGTGACATTTTTGAGCCCAAACTCGATTATGAACCCAATGAAAACTTTCCGTGTTTTGCAAATGTTCTGAGAATTGCGCAAAACAATGAAAACGGACGACATGTTGTCGCCACAACGAATATTGACGTAGGCAAAACAGTAATGGTTGATCAAAGCTACTTTGCGGAGACATTTAATCAAAAGTACGGACGATGCAATATTTGTCTACGATCAGCTGAAATCCTCAAACCATGCCAAAAATGTGCGTTCACAATGTTCTGTCCAAGATGCGAAGGAAACAGTTTTCATGATTTTGAATGTGATATCAATCTAAACTATTTTGGTTCTCTTTCATTCATGAGTTTTCGTATGGTGGTTATTCGTTCGATTTTATTGGCAATGGATGCATATCCTGATATCGAT